TGGGCGAAAACGAACATGTAGTGGCCTACTTCAGTAGAGTTTTAAGTAGACCAGAGAGGAACTACTGTGTAACACGGAGGAAACTCCTTGCTATAGTAAAAGAGTCTGACATATTTCCATCCTTACCTCTATAGGGCTAGGTTTACATTCAAGACAGACCATGCTGGTTAAGATCATTAAAGAACCCAGAAGGACAACTGGCACGTTGGATCAGAAAGACAGACCAGTATAATTATGATATTGAATACAGAGAAGGAAAATTTCATGGAAATGTCAATGGACTGACGCAATGACCCAGCAAAAATGACTGCAGACATTGCTGCAAAAGAGAGGTTCGACTAACCAGGTGCCATCAAGCTGAAGTCAAAGCGACTGAAGGAGATGATGATGGTGAAGTAGAACCAAGTATAGATATTAAAGCAGAAAAGGAGAAAGACCAAGATTTGAAGCCAATAATTCATTTTCTACAAGCAAGTGTTTTGTGCCCTGCTTGGGATAAGGTGTCTAGCTTAAGTCCTGTGACAAAGAACCATTGTGCATAATGGGTATATGATGATGGTATTCTTGTCCGGAGATGGGAAAGTGACGACCTGGCAAATTTGCATGTATCTTCACATGGACCCAACAACCCTTCATGCCAACTTTGGTGAAGATCCATCAACAGGAGGTGAAGTAATGGTAATAAATTTAAAAATGCCCATAAAAACCTCAAAATGCAAGACTGAAAATCTGTATGTATTTCCCCATGGACCCAAGGAACCTCCATACTAAATTTGGTGAAGATCCATATACAGGGGATGAGGTAGTGGTACAAAATGCTAAAATGCCCATGAAAACCAAAAAATGCAAAACTGAAAATTTGTATGTACCCCCAAACCACACAAAGTAGTTAAATGGACATACAACAGACAGTACTATTATGTTTATATAGATACTATATAACCAGGTTATGGGTACTTGCTACATGCATTAGTAATGTTGTTAAAAAGTTTTAGTTGCCTTTATTATCATAATGAAATGTAAAGTGTGTGCAAACATAACTGCTTTAATTAATAATGATTCATAAGTGATCAAAAAGTAATATTCATAGAACAATGTTTGGAAGATATTTACTTAACCGTGCTCATTACATGAGAAAGAAGCTGACTGAACATGAAATCTTAATTTTACAAATCTGTGTTCAGCTTTAAAGCTTGTACAAAGTTTTTAATATAATAAAATCACTGGAGCACCATTAAATATGAACTCTCTGGTAATAATCCTTGCCAATACTGTTCTAAACAATTTCAATTATAATACAATCCTAACTACATAAGTTATAATTTTGTATTTTTTCATACATGTAAACCTTCAGATATTAATGACTTGGGTGATTGATATAAACCTTTTTTGTTACTTTTGAGAATCAAAAAAATATAAAAGTTTTAACTCAAGGTCTAATTTCCTGTAGAAGTAGTTCAAAAATTTAGATGTGCCAACTTGAATTCTACCAAAGGTAAATAAAATACATTTGTTCATTTTTCACATATCAAGTATTAAGAAATAATATGCTGATATAAGACACTTGTTTGCCGAGTTCTGTGTTTAATACCTCCCATATAACAGAAAATATAATTAATAATTTGTTTAACATTCTTCTCGCAGTTGATAAAATACATGATAAAAAAATTAAATTTGGCAATACAAGAAACAAAAACTGTCGAATAAGAAAATTATTTTCTACTTCAAAATTGTATTTTAAGAAACCTTGTTCCTCAAAAAAAAAAATCTGAATCTTAAGAGTATTAACAACCTAACACTTGCAATAGTCACCAGGGATGACCTAATACAGACAGATTCAATTTAAAAAATGAATACATGATACACACCTGGAAAACTATCATACTCTTCCATACAAAATGATATAATATTTTAATCTACAAACAAAGTCCTGTCACAACACATCACTGCCTTTTTAATTCACATCTCTAGTTTATTCATAAGTGTTTCCAATTCTTTCAACCCATGGGTTTGAATTACCAACATTGCACCACAATTCAAAAGCTGCTCTTGAGCACCAGGACAATTTTGTAGTAAACAACACAGAAGTTGGTGATAAGCTGACTGGACACTATTTTCTACAGCATGAGAATTTATCTTCCCGAGTGATGAAATAATGTGCTGGGGCCAACCACTTTCTAGCAGGAATGTGGCAACCCACGTGGCTGATGACAACAGACTGGAAAGTGATTGAATTCCCAGAAACCAAAGTTCCATAATGTCATTCCAGACTTTACTATATTCTTGCACAACTACTAGAGAAGGGACATCTTGTGAATTATCCACTTGATGAGCATCCCAAAGAAATTTCACACTAGCTGAAAAAAAGTGGTGAAAACTTGTCTCACAACTTTTAATCTTTTGATAATGATGCGTAGCAATGAGAAGTCCCAAAACTGTAATATTTGCTTTAAGGGTTATGTGCTCAAATCCTTGAGGTATATGTGATACTGTACTGAGCAGAAATTTTAACAAAGAGAAGAACAATTTACTTTCAGCAACCATTTTTTTTCTAAAACCACTAAGTTCATAAAAATTCCACAGAGTGTAATAATACATGTTTCAGAATCTTTATTTAAATCTTTTCTCCACAACAACCACTGAAAATCCAGGTATTCGAAAAGCAGTTTTGGTGCATTTTGATCCAGTAAAACTTTTCGAGTTTTGTCATCAGCACTCATGTGACAAAGGGCAGGGGATAAAAAACGTATTACATCAACATCTTGATCACACATAACCTGGTCTACTGGTTTTGAAAGCTTTTCTTTGTTCTCCCTAAAAAAAAGTTCTCCTATTTTTAAAAGGCAGGGAATAACCATACACACCTCTTCTTTAAGTGCAAATGTTTCTTCTGCTAACCAGGATGAAAGTACCCTTACAGAGGCAAGTGTTACATACCGTTTGGGTTCACACGTTTCCAAAGTTTTATGCCAATCATCCCATTCTTTAGAAACCTCCAACAGAAATGAAATAATGGCTTGAAATGCATCGGTAAGTGCAATAAGTAATTGTTTTGTTGTGGCTGATTCAATATGCCACACAGACTCATCACACATCATAGTTATGGTTGCCTCCAGAACTGTGTAACATGCAGAAAGCACATCTATATTTTCAACAATTTCTTGCACTGACCTGTCTTCCAGAATCATTCGTACTTCTATAGACACTAGATGAACCAAAAGGCTCAAATCTCTTTTGGTTGTTTCTGTTTCATCCCTGTTTTTTAAAACCCAAAGTAATCCAAACCTCTCTACCATTGCACTTGCCAATTTTAAGGTGCTGTCACGCTGTATTTTTCCCAGCTTATTTTTCAGTAGATCAAACAAACCTTCCCGTATAAGTTCACTCCATTGACTGTGAGAATATGTTGAACATGTTGGATTATCAATCAATAGCTTTGTTAATTTGTCACAAAGCTCAAATTTATGCCTAGTAGTGTCTTCTTTAAATTCTTTAGCTATACAGTACATGATTGCAGAAAATGATCCAGCATCTTGCCCCCAAACCTCACTTTTGAAATACTGGTTCAGAATTATTAAAATCTGTAAAGCTTTTTCACGATCCTGTGATGAATTAGTGGCCACATTAACAAGGTAGCTAACAAACTGTTTAGAAATCACACTATTTCTACCTTCTTCCGTAGAACAAACGTTTAGTAAACACTGTAAAATATCTCTACGTGTCAAATCATCTGGAGAATTCAATTCTTCTTTTGACTGTATGATTTCTTTAAAAGTATCAATATGACTGCAGATAAAATTGTATGCTGGAGATTCACAAGCAGTAGATAATGCAGCCAAAATGGCTAGGGCAACTGACTTGAAAATTTCCTTTGGACATCCTTCTGGAACCTGTTGTGCATATAATAGTCTATTTAAAAACGAAACTCCAATTGCATCAAAAATATCCTTTTGTTTAATATGATCCATATCATTATCAAATCTCTTCATAATCTCTGCTAAAACAAGAAGAGCAGCAAATTTTTCAGTGTCATTTTTTGCACCATGCAATCTCTCAATATATTTATGCACATCCTCCATTACTTTCCAAAACGTGTGAAAACAGTACTATACAGTATACTCAGTCTATAGTAACTAAGTAAGCAATATCACTGCGTCTGCAAGATTTTATTATTAATCTGTATTAACTATTATGTATTTTTCACAACGTTGCAATCAAATGAATACTGAATCACAAATTTGTTGAATAAATATTTTCTAATTTAACAGACTACAGGTACAACTTGACTACGATCCAGCCAAATAAACAATAAGTTGAATAACACTATACTAAAATTTAGCATTACTTATTTAACATTAGTACTAACAGTAACGTTGTCAAAAACAATTCATACGTCAAAGGGCCACGTCTTCTGGCATTTGCAATGTTATATTTTAAAACAGGTCTTATCAATAACTAAAATCTAATTAGAAATCTAAAGAGAATTAAAAAAACACCACAACATTGGTATTTTACGCACACAATTATATAACCTGACACTATACTTCCAACGTTAAATTAGGCTTATCATTTATAGCGCAAAATATGAAAAACATCCGGTTGCAAACAACAGTTAAAACGTGAAACACATACTTTTTTATTCTTTTGTACATTAAAACTTCAAGAAGAAATGTTTGCATTTTTTATATATAATTAACGAAGATTTAATGTCTTTTTCCTTCAAAATGTTTAATTCATTATTAACTTTTTTGTCTGTCTATAGCCTTTATACTAGGAATAATAATAAAATATTAATTTTTCTACATTTTGACATTCCATAACTCATTGTTACAACAGCGGAAGTCACGTGACTCTAGTAACACGTCATGAACTTCTAGAAGGATCCTGTCCCTTCCTGAATGCTCGAGCGTTTACTAGATTACGGTATTCTTTTATATATAAGACGGTCAAGACGTGACGGCAACAATGTAATTGAACTGCGGATCAGAGAGAGACATATTGTTGAGTCGAGCACATGAGGCGTTCGTTGTGAATTATAGCGTTTGTTATAGCGTGACTGCGAAAATTAAGTGTGTTGCAAAGTTGTATTCAGAAAGAATAAACCAGTTTTATTTAAGAAAGGGACCCGAC